TTAAAATATAAATGTGTAAATAGGTCACATCCATTCTGGACCCGTTGACTCGAAACGTTGGGTTCGCCTCTGTAGTAGCTCCTTATATAATCTCCATTTCTCACGTATGAAAGATTTTTTATTTTCCTGGAATGCTCTTGTCAGAAATGCTCCGGAATAAAATAAAAGAACAAATAAAATAAAACAGAAAGGTCTAAAAATGTCACTTAATTTTCAGAAATGGTCTATCCATGTCATCGTTAAAAAAATGCTCATTCATGCCACTGTCGTTAAAGAAATGGCCCATCCATGCCATTATTGACTAACAGCAGTGGCATGATGGCCAAATAAAAATTGAGTCGTTAGTCAATAATGGCATGGATGAGCCATTTCTTTAATGGCAGTGCATGGAAATAGCAATTTTTAAACGGATGACATGGATAAACCATTTCTGAAAGTGAGTGGCATTTTTATGCCTTTTCCGAAATAGAAAATACACGCTTACCCTCCAAAAGAAATTAACAATAATTGAATCAATAAACTTCAAACCCATTTGCTTTGTTGCCATTGATCCTGCAACATTAATAACATTCATATATTTAGTTTGTTTTAGGATCATTAATTTGAAGGGAAAAAAAAGAAGATGCATATCTGATCATTAAAATAAGAGAGAAAGATAGTTGCCTTTCAAAAAAATAGGAGAATGGAGAAAGGATTAAAAATGTGGCAAATGATGATAAAATTACAAGGGATGAAGGTTTGAAACCTAATGACATAAGATAACTTGCTAATACTGAATTTCCTGCATATTATAAATTGCATCCCTATTAAACCTCCTATTATTGCAAAATCTTCAAGAATTTCCTTCTTTTGAATTCCTTTCATTTTCCTTTCAATAATAAAGCTGAAATTAACCTTATCATCTTTTTCAATTTCTCCTCCTTTTTCTAATACTAATTTTCCTATCTAATATTCATGCTGCATGCATGAAGTTATAAAAACCTTTTCTTTCTCTACAAGCATTTATTTACAAATACACTGGATTTCGCTTTTTTCCCTCGATATTCATCAACCAGATACGATTATATCTCAACTGAAACAAGATACTTGTCATATAGCACAAAATACGATTACGAGCCTCAATCCGAAACAAGATTAATTGTTATATAGCACAAGATACACTATGTCTCAATCCCTGACAAAATTACTTGTGATGTACGTCTTGATAAAAGTGACTTATATAGATTGAATTCTTTATAGGGAACAAAGTATTGATGATCACTTTTGATCATTTCATCAGATTTTTTTATTTTTTCCTCATAATTCACCTGCAATATATTGCCTCGGTATTACCAGATATTTTTCATTTTTTTTTCCTCATAATTCACCTTCCCTTCACCTGCAATATTATTTTGGCTCATGATCTTTCTAGTTTTATTCAAGTATTATTGGTTTTGCAAAAAACTAGTATATGGATAATATTTGTTCTTGAAAAAATATCCATTTTGATTTCCTCCTAATTATCTGTTTGAGGAAGAGGAGTTTGGAAAATTATGTGGCCAAGATTCTTTTATAGGACAAATGGAATGATCAATGATCACTTATTCATTTGGTTTACTGGTTTGCCATTCACTCAAGCCAAAAGGATTAATTGAAAATTAAATTTAGTTAAATGCCAGAAAAATGAAAAAAATCAAATGCCAAAAAAATTAAACTTATTTTTTACTTTTTTACTTTGCTTTAATAGAAAGTAGTATCAATATTCTACCTAATAGATTTTGCCCCTGTACTATCTAAAAAAACCAATTTTGTTTTCATTTATCTTTTGATTTAATATTACCCTTTGGGCTTTTTTACCTAGTTATATTATAATAGAAACCTATTTACTACTTTATTTAGGTTCCTTATTAATTACTTTATATACCTATATTACTAGTTTTATACAACATTTAAAAAAAAAGGAAATGAAATATACCTTTAAATAGTGGGTATCAGTTACATAAAATATCCTAGTTTAAGATACCCAAAATCAATACTTACCCAAATCCCTTCACCGTAAGAAACCCACCCCAAAATAATCAACCCCTCTTTGCAATACCAAATCCCTTCACCGAAAGAGACCCACCCCAAAATCATCAACCTTTGTTTTGCAATACCAAATCCCTTCACCGTAAGAAGAACCACTCCGAAATCGTGCTCTGCGAACGATTGAGAATATAACTTGCAATTTATATCTCAATTTTGAGGGAGATTGGTTAAGTTTAGAGTTGTTTTTTAGGTAAAATTTTCATATTGAAACTCGAAGAGAAAAGTTTCTCAATTGTATCACCACTTGTATTTAATTATATCAAATTTGTTTCATAATTGTATCACAATGTAATCAAAGTTTATTTGATTTGTATCTGATATATCAATACCTAAAATAATACTAATACAATTATAATACAATATTGTTTCAGAATTTATGTTTAGAGTTGTGATTGAAACTTGAAGAAGATGAGGGAAAAATTAGAATTTTATCACGATTGTATCATAATTGTATTTGTATTATAATTGTTTGTGAAAAATTGTATCACAAATGTATGATAATTGTATATGTTGACGAGCAATTGTAAGTTATGACTATTATCCTATTAACAACTGAAGCAAGGTTAGTAGCTCTTGCTGAAGACGTGCAACTATTGAAGAAGAGAGAGAAGAGGAGATCTGCGTATTGAAAAAATTATGAAGCATGAAATGAGAGAAGTGTGAAAAAAAGGGAAAGTATATAATTGAATCCCTTAATTAAAGGCACTAATAATGAGATGAGAAATTTTTAAGGAGGTAATATATATAATTTGTAAGAAAAACCTAAATACTTTTTGAAAACTACAAAACCTAGAGAAAATAAATTAATAAGTTCCTATCATAGTATATGTAGAAACTCCCTCACCCTTTCCCTTGATCCATAACAGATCTCCAACCTGGGTTAACTTTAAGTCATAAACCAAAAGTTGATAGGTAAAATTGATTTTTTTCCCTCGAAGAATTCGGACTGTGTCCGGTCATTTTATGTTGGAACTCTATTAATAACAAGGGGCCAAGGTTAACAATAAGGACATAAAATGAAACCCAAAGTGTATCGTAATAATAAAATTGAGTAATTTCAATTGTACATAAGCAAAAATTTTGAAGTTTTTCTTTTTACTTTTGTTAAAGAAAATAAGAAAACGTGATAAGTTAATTAACATCGTGTGTCTGCCTTTCGTAGTAATAAAAATTATGTTTGGTATAATTGGGTCAATAATTGTGTCATTTTAAAATGGCGTGACGCACCTCGTCTCAGACGGGCAACGAGAGCATGGCATTGTATGCACAATTTTTTTTTTAAAGTATATATAATTTAATTTTACATAATAACATTGTAAAAATTTATCTATTAAGCTTTTTTCTTTTAAAAATACTTATGGATAGGTATGATACTAAATGATTAAATCAATGTTTTGATTGCCAAGTGGTAGGCCAAAAGTCATGTTAAAAGAATATTTTAGTGGTGAAAAGGACATAATTCAAGTTGCAGTATCACAAGTTAGACAGTATAATTTTTCACCGTAATAACCATAGCATGTTACTTGGAGTAATACTAAATGGGATTAGTTTCTTTTGTATATATGTAACTTATTAAGGTAATTAATATATTTTTTATTAATAATTAATCAGTTATTTTATAAAAATGATAATAACCTGAAAAACTTATAATGCAAAGTTATCTTTACACTTCGAATGTAATAGCCCGTTTGACCAAGCTTCTAAATCAGCTTATTTTGAGAAGTGCTTTCTCAAAAGTACTTTCTAAAAAAAGTGCTTTGGTGAGAAGCAGTTTTGTTTGGCTAATTAATTTGAAAAGCACTTTGAGCAATAATTAGTGTTGCCAAGTTTTGAAAACTGCTTTTAATGTATTTTTCTCAAAAGTACTTCTCAGAAAAAGTGCTTTTGGAGAGAAGCTACTTTTTTCTGCTTCTCCAAAACTGCCTTTGCTTCTCCTCAAAGCATTTTTTTTCCTTCCAAAAGCTTGGCCAAACACCTCAATTTTTGGCCAAAAGTGCTTTTGGCCAAAAAAAGCACCTTTGGCCCCAAAAAGAGACTTGGTCAAACAGGCTATTAGAGGTCCGTTTGGACATAAGAATTTTTTTACTTTTTTTAAAATATTTTATTCTTTTTCGAAATAAGTGTTTGGCTAAAATTTTCAATTTTCACTTGAAAATAAATTTTAAAATTTTTCGAAAATTAAAAACTCCAAAAAATTATTTTTCAAAATTTCAACTCAGATCACTTACAAAACTTTAAAAATAACCCAAAATTATATTCATGTCCAAATAAAACTCTATTTTCAAATACCATTTTCGCTTGAATTTTTTTTTTCGCTTTTTTAAAATTTACAATTTTATGATCCGAACGCCCACTTAAAATACCAGTCCGAGTCACAACACTATGAGATTCACCCCTATATATACCTTTGGCGCGAATTGAAAAACTCAAATTCTTTTTTTAATCACTGCTCACACTTCTCAGCTGAGAGGCTTATAGTTCAAATGGAAGACGATACCGGAGAACGATCAAGCTTCGTCATCGGCCTCAATCGAGAATCGCGCCAAGGAGGTTCTCTCTCTTCTCTCTTTCTCTCCATTCGTATTTTAAACAGAGTATATTTCTAGGTATATCGAATGTGCAAATTTGAACTTTCATTTGAATAAATAGATGCGACTTCGCCCTTTTAGATACAATTTCGATATGTATAACAAGCAAAATTTGAACTACATTGAACAAATAGATACAATTACGGCGATGTATAACAAGCATATT